GCTTGGCTTCCCCAGTGATTTTACCCATGCACCACTACTGATTAGATTAGAATCTGAGTGTTTTCTTCCTGCCTTTTGTGTTATCTAGCAAAGTGCAAAGAAATGTTAATTCAAGTTGGGGGGAGAGGCGTACCTGCTTGAATTTGGTTAAAATCCCTTAAGGTCGATGTCCGCGCCCCCACGGAAATCTAATTAGCATGATAAAAAGAATCCCCATAAATATCTGTCAGTTTAAACTATATATATATATATATATATATATATCTTTTTTTTTTTCTTTTTTTTTGCATCGGATGCGTCTCAATCCACCGCATCTGCCTATGTCGCACTTCTGCATCTGCAGTGAAATGTGACAGAGATAGAGCTATGTTTGTCAGACCATGAGACATCCCGACTTCTCACAAAATCGTCTCAGTACAGCCGATCTGCAAACTTCTGTGTGTAGTGTCCGAACAGTTTGGGCTACACACTAATATGACGCCCCCACAGCCTCACAAGACTCATCTGAAGGTCCCCTGGTACCAGTTGAGAAAATGAATGGAAGTACTGTATATATGGAGACTGTTCAGTGCCAAAAATAAGGGTTTAAAGACATGTAAAGAAAAAATTACAAATGTTTCTTGATCTTTCTTATATCTCTCAGATATATTTTTATTCTTTGTTCCATGCAGTGAATCTGTTATTCAATGCGTTTGTGTGGGCTAATAGCAGTAAGGCCCAAAATATTTTCTCATCAAATACTTTTTGTCTATTTATTTTGGATACTTCAAGGGGTCTTAAAATTCCAAATCAAATAGCAAAAGGATCGTTAGTATGACCTTCTTAAAACAATTCTATATAGCTTAGTAGAACCCCCCACCCCCATGGGTTAAAAGGGCAGTGAATTCGCTCATACTGTACTTTGAGAACTTGCTTCCAAGCTCCTGTGTGTATCAGACACACATAACTTTTTTCTCTTAGAAGACACGTGTAACCACATTGTCTTATTTAGTTGATAGTCATTTACTCTGTGTATTCTTTAAGGTTTCATGTATTTCATGTACACTGTAATTGTTTGAGTGTTAATTATTTCATGACTAATAAATCATATTAGTTGAATTGAGTAAATGCATTCCTTGTTTTACGGAGTAAATCTTTGATTCTTTAATTTAGTAGGTCTATTGTTAAATATTATTTACACTACACATATGCTTTGGTTCCACCTTGATGTCCCTGATCTACTTGACTCAATGAATTCATGCTAGAACATTGGTCGCCAGGGTTAGCTATTTGTAACTAGCCTATTAATAATTGCACAACAGTGCAAGAGAGACACATGTTCATTATAGTCATACTGAGTGGTGATGCAAGGCTTGCTACCTTGACTAGATGCTCCAGAGACACAAAGGGCCTGTTGCATTTATTCATGTAAAAATTTAGTCAGATTGATGAATGTAGTTTATTATAATTAAACATAGTTTTCATTAATCTACAACAGCAATCCATGGTTTGGTTAAAGTGCGGCAGGTAGTCTAGCGGTTAAGGGCGTTGGGCCAGTATCCGAGAGGTTGCTGGTCCTAAGCCCACTCTGTGAAAAATCTGTCAATGTGCCCTTGAGCAAGGTACTTAACCCTTATTGCTCCTGTAAGTTGCTAAGACGTTAGGATGTGGAAACAGTGCCAGGGAAACCAAAGCATGAATTGCTGTCATACCTTGTTCATAGACTGCTAACAGGGTATGGAAACCAATGTGTAATTTAGGTTAACTATTCCTTTAAGACAGACTGGTAGCATAGCTAGCCATAGCTAGCATTCACTGGTTGAAGTAACTTTTGTGTGTAATAGAGTCGACTGGTGACTATGAATATACTGTATATATACAGTTGAAGTCAGAAGTTTACATACACCTTAGCCAAATACATTTAAACTCTGTTTTTCACTATTCCTGACATTTAATCCTAGTAAAAATTCCCTGTCTTAGGTCAGTTAGGAACCCCACTTTATTTTAAGAATGTGAAATGTCAGAAAAATAGTAGAGAGAATGATTTATTTCAGCTTTTACTTCTTCCATCACATTCCCAGGGGTCAGAAGTTTACATACACTCAATTAGTGTTTGGTAGCATTGCCTTTAAATTGTTTGACTTGGGTCAAATGTGTCAGGTAGCCTTCCACAAGCTTCCCACAATAAGTTGGGTGAATTTTGGCCCATTCCTCCTGACAGAGCTGGTGTAACTGAGTCAGGTTTGTAGGCCTCCTTGCTCGCACACGCTTTTTCAGTTCTGCCCACACATTTTCTATAGGATTGAGGTCAGGGCTTTGTGATGGCCACTCCAATACCTTGACTTTGTTGTCCTTAAGCCATTTTGCCACAACTTTGAAAGTATGCTTGGGGTCATTGTCCATTTGGAAGACCCATTTGCGACCAAGCTTTAACTTCCTGACTGATGTCTTGAGATGTTGCTTCAATATATCCACATAATTTTCCTATTTTGTGAAGTGCACCAGTCCCTCCTGCAGCAAAGCACCCCCACAGCATGATGCTGCCACCCCTGTGCCTCAAGGTTGGGATGGTGTTCTTCGGCTTGCAAGTAACCCCCTTTTTCCTCCAAACATAACGATGGTCATTATGGCCAAACAGTTCTATTTCTGTTTCATCAGACCAGAGGACATTTCTCCAAAAAGTACGATCTTTGTCCCCATGTGCAGTTATAAACCGTAGTCTGTCGTTTTTATGGCGGTTTTGGAGCATGGCTTCTTCCTTGCTGAGCGGCCTTTCAGGTTATGTCGATATAGGACTCGTTTTACTGTAGATACTTTTGTACCTGCTTCCTCCAGCATCTTCACAAGATACTTTGCTGTTGTTCTGGGATTGATTTGCACTTTTCGCACCAAAGTACATTCATCTCTAGGAGACAGAACGCATCTCCTTCCTGAGCGGTATGATGGCTGCGTGGTCCCATGGTGTTTATACTTGCATACTATTGTTTGTACAGATGAACGTGGTACCTTCAGGCGTTTGGAAATTGCTTCCAAGTATGAACCAGACTTGTGGAGGTCTACAAATTTATTTCTGAGGTATTGGCTGATTTCTTTTGATTTTCCCATGATGTCAAGCAAAGAGGCACTGAGTTTGAAGGTAGGCCTTGAAATACATCCACAGGTACACCTCCAATTGACTCAAATGATGTCAATTAGCCTATCAGAAGCTTCTAAAGCAATGACATCATTTTCTGGAATTTTCCAAGCTGTTTAAAGGCACAGTCAACTTAGTGTATGTAAACATCTGACCCACTAGAATTGTGATACAGTGAATTATAAGTGGAATAATCTGTCTGTAAACAATTGTTGGAAAAATTACTTGTGTCATGCAAAAAGTAGATGTCCTAACCGACTTGGCAAAACTATAGTTGGTTAACAAGACATTTGTGGAGTGGTTGAAAAACAAGTTTTAATGACTCCAACCTAAATGTGTGTAAACTTCTGACTTCAACTGTAATTCACAACATTTTGACAGGAGCTATAAACCAGTTATAATATAAAAAAGTAAACTATGTGTGTCGTCATTGCTTGAATTCAAGCTTGGCTGCATTGCTTTCAATGGAGAAAGATTGCTTCCGTACCCAGCTTCTGTGATTTTCGTTGAAAATGTCACTTCGCCGTCTGGAGCTAGACTTGCTGTCTTTTTAGTTGCCAATGACATCAGAGAGGTGCAAGTGGGAAAATCATAGCACAGGGATGATAGAAAAGTTTTTAGTAATTAGCAGTTGGAGGGCCGTTCAACTGGATTCTTCCCAGTCGTATGTGGTAAATATTACCACATTCCTACTTGGTTATGAAATCAGCATCAGGTTAGTTATAACTGGGGTTAGAGCGAAAACATAAAGGAGGGCAGCGCTTCAGGAAAAGGGTGGGAGAGCCCTGCTTTAATGCATTCTCTTGTACATTTTCTCTGATGAGACAGCACAATGGTATTAGTCTAGTTGTCTTTCACACACCTACAGTGCATTCGGAAAGTATTCAGACCCCTTGACATTTTACTACGTTACAGCCTTATTCTAAAATGGATTAAATACATGTGGTTCCTCATCAATCTACACACAATACCCCATAATGACAAAGCAAAAACTAGTTTTTGTAAATGTATAAAAAAATAAAATTGTATTTACATAAGTATTCAGACCCTTTGCTATGAGACTCGAAATTCAGCTCAGGTGCATCCTGTTTCCCTTGATCATCCTTGAGATGTTTCTACAACTTGATTGGAGTCCACCTGTGGTAAATTGATTGGACATGATTTGGAAAGGCACACACATGTCTATATAAGGTCCCACAGGTGACAGTGCATGTCAGAGCAAAAACCAAGCCATGAGGTCGAAGAAATTGTCCGTAGAGCTCCGAGACAGGATTGTGTCAGACAACCATCTCTGCAGCACTCCACCAATCAGGCCTTTATGGTAGAGTAGCCAGATGGAAGCCACTCCTCAGTAAAAGGCACATGACAGCCTGCTTGGAGTTTGCCAAAAGGCACCTAAAGACTCTCACACCATGAGAAACAAGATTCTCTGGTCTGATTGCCAAGCGTCATGTCTGGAGGTTCACCTTCCAACAGGACAACAACCCTAAGCACACAGCCAAGACAACACAGGAGTGGCTTCGGGACAAGTCTCTGAATGTCCTTGAGTGGCCCAGCCAGAGCCTGGATTTGAACCCGATCGAACATCTCTGGAGAGACCTGAAAATAGCTTTGCAGCGACGCTCCGCATTCCAACCTGACAGAGCTTGATAGGATCTGCAGAGTAGAACTGGAGAAACTTCCCAAGTACAAACTTTGATTATTTGAATCAGCCATGTAGTGCTAGGGCAAAAACTAAAAAACATGCACCCAGGAGGGCCCCAGGACCGCATTTGGAAAACCCTGATATAACCTGTACAATATATTGCCACAGTATAATTGCTGTCTTAAACGAGAAATTGCTTTATATTAGTTGTACTGAATGATTGTGAAATAGTTAAATCACCCCTTAGTCTGCTCGGTTACCAGGTTTTATTTCTACCGAAGATAATAGCCTGTAGAGTGCGAACGTGTCTTGGAAAATGTTTGGATAAAGCGAGGCTAAGTTAACACTGCCGTCACATGTTACTCGGCTTTTAGGGAACAGGAAAAATTGTTAAGCAATTGAGATCAGCTGTGCGGGTAATGTTAGTGTGTATTGATGCTCAATTGGTAGAGCATGGCGCTTGTAATGCCAGGGTAGTGGGTTCGATCCCCAGGACCATCCATACGTAAAAATGTATGCACACATGACTGTAAGTCGCTTTGGATAAAAGCGTCTGCTAAGTGGCATATTATTATTATGGTTTAATGAGAGATCGTCTGGAGATAAAATGGTGGCCAACAGTGGATGCAATAGGCCCATAGTGTTCATTTTCACTCCCACATGGTCTCAGGTAGACTGTACATCTTATAGAGGAGGCCTTTGGGGAGTGAGAGGAGTGATGAGAGACTGTGTCTGGTATAGAGGGTTGTTAGTAGGAGAACAGTGCCAGACAGAGCTACTATCAGTCTCAGACTAGAGGAGGCTCTGGTTCTGCTCTCTGGTTGTGGGGGCATCCTGGTCCTGAAGGGCTGGGCTACGCACTCCCACTGGGTGAGGATGGCCTGTCGGGCCCCGTCCCACTTTCCTGGCCCTCTCAGACGGTACTGGTAAGGGGTGCAGGGCCCCAGCAGCACACGCAGCCCTACACCAGGCTCCATCAACAGCAGCCCTAGGAGATTAGGACGAACCCCCAAATCCTCTGCCATGGAGTCCATGTAGGGGATATGGTCCACCTGGAGAGGGTGACGCTCCAAACAGGAAAACCTGGATGGAGAGGGAGGGTATACACACACACAGGTGCTTTTAAAGTGAGCAAACTAATGACAATATGTGAGTGTAATAACACATGGTTGTTGTCCTACCTGTTTTGCAAGGTGCTGGTGTCTCTCTTTATGTCCTGCAGCATGGCTTCTTCTGAGGGCAGTGTTAGTAACCCTGGAGCAAGAAATCATGTATTCCATACATTATTATTAACACAAACCTCAAAGCTTCAATCGCTCGGATTCAAATACACTAGGCTACCCAACAACTTCAGACACAGAGTTAGTGAGTTAGTGAGGGAGTTAGTTGTTACCTTTAAAGACCTGGGTGGCCCAGCGGGCCTGCATCTCAGCCAGAGGGTTGATGGCTCCCAGGCTACAGATGAAGCCCACTACAGCCAGACTGGGCCGGGCCAGCCGCAGGGGGAACACATGACGGTACAGACACAGGCGGTGACCGCTATTAGCCAGCAGATCCGAAGGCAGGAAAGGAAATTCATAGTTGTAGCCGGTGGCAAACACCACAACACCCACCTAGGGAGGAGAGGGAGGGTAGGGTAGAGGGGAGGTGAGAAGGGAGGAGAGTGTGTGTGTGTTTGTATGTTCACCTTGTCCACGACACTCCCGTCCTCAAACACCACACTGGAGCCTTTGATCTCCCTGATGTTAGGTTTGACCAGAACACGACCAGAGATGATTCGACCAGGCAGGTCATCATTCACCACCGGGATCTGGGCAAAGAACCTGAAATAGATGGATGGATCAATCACTCAATCAATCAATCGGTCAGTCAGTCAGTCAGTCAGATATGTAGAGATTTTACCTGTGTTTTGGCTGTAGGCCGTACAGTCTGTGGTCGAAGGTCTGGTTCAGTTTCTTCTCCATCATCCTTGTAATCCAGGAGGGGAAGAGCTTCTGCACCAGCCTGCCCAATCGTGAAGTGCCCACCAGGTCACCTGGCAGCCCCCCCGCCCCCACCCTGCTGACCACCTACGCCCCCTTCCGTGTGCTGAGGTACACCTGTAGACCAGGAGAGAAAGTGTTAATGATCTTTGGCAGAGATGGCCAACTCTATTCCTGTTCATGCTAGCTGGGAGTTTTGCATACTTCCCAATCTCAACTTTTTTTTCACAAACAGTTTTCGTAAAGGTGCACTATGCAGAAATCGCTCCGCCATTTCCTGGTTGCTAAAATTCTAATAGTTTGCCTAATTTCAGTTTATGTGACAAAACAAGCAAGTATAGTGTAGAGAATCATTGTACCATTTAAACCACTGTGAAATATATTTTCCATAACCAAAAATATTGTATTTTCAGCTGTATGAAGCTGGTGTACTAAACCGAAAGTAAAAGACGCAAAAATGAAACGGGAAGCATAGAAATAGAGCACATAGAACAGATCTACCGCTTCTTAAACTTGCTTTCAATGAGAATGACAGATCTATAACTAACAATTTTATGTGAATTTGGTTGGGTATCCCAGAAAGTTTTATATTTCAGATTTAATATTAACAGCATTTGAAATACATGTGTATATTTTGATAGACCAAAGTATCAGCTATCACACAATGTGAAGGAACAACCTCCTAATGTTTTATTTTTTAAATAAAATGCAGCTAACTGGATTTATGTCAACTCCGTCAGACACCATAAAAGGCATTTCATTTCTACATTTATTATCCAACAAATGTTTAAATGCCTTGATTGTTTAATTATAACATTTGATTATTCACATATGTAATAGAAATCTCCAAACTTTATAGCACTATACAATGCTCTATGGCCAATTTCGTTAGCATTTTGGCATGTTTTTTTTTCTAGATTCAGAACATAAAACAACATTTATACAGCAAACATTATCCCTTAGGTCTAGCACAGAAAATACTTCAGTAGGTTAAGCATATGTTGCAGCACAGTGATACATTTTTTTGTTCTGAACATTGACAAAATAATAGTTGATCTTAAGAGGGTTAGCTTGGCCATCAGTGACGGAGTTGACAAGCCACTGACGGAGTTGACAACAGATACTCAAACTGCGATAATTTTACCTCTAAACATTTAAATTAAAATCAAACATTTGTAAAATATGGAAAATGATTATTTTGGAAAATCCCCAATAAAAACATAACCATTCTATCAGATCTTTCAGCACTCTGACAGAGTTCATGTTTTATGGAGTTGAAACAATTGTCTTTTTCTTCTTCATTCAAGTTGCATACAAAGTAGCAATTTAGTTTTTTCTCAGTTGCTTTATGACTCTAAAACCTAATTAAAATAAACATATTTGAACAGAAATGTATATTCTATCAGGGAGATGGAGTTGACAGTTTATGGTTGTGACCATGGTGACTTCAACATTTCTTCAAAAGTAGAAAACTATACAGACCATGAGTGGTCTTGTTGCACTACATGTAATGAAGACATGGAGAAGGGGTCCTTATGGTATAGCTGACCCTGCTCATTCCTGATTAATTTTTGACAAATCTGACGGAGTTGACCAACTCTTCGGACACATTTTTTAGGAATAACAGTTTTGATCCCTTTTTCAGTTAATATTATTGCCAGTTGAAAATGAATAATATTGAAAACATTTAGAAAATTCCCAAAACAAGTATTTTTCCTTGACAAATTCTCCTAAATTGAATTTTTAAGCTCAAATAAGGCAACAATATATATATATTTTTACTATTAAAATGAAGTTTCCCTGCCGGACAAGGATTGTCCCAATTTTAAAGAATCCCTGCCCTACATAATATCTGAGAGAAACACTTCCAGAAGAATCAGAGGATTTCCCACTCACCTGCTCCGCTACTCTGCTGGCATCCACAGCGATGTCACCTCCAGAATTCCCAATCCCAACCACCACCACCCTCTTCCCCTGCAGCCCCTCAGCACTGCGGTATTCCCAACTGTGGAAGTACCTGCCCTCAAACTCCTCTATACCTGGGAGGATCAGATAATCAAATGATAAATAATGATACACATAGTAATTGATTGATGATGATAATCGAGCATGATATTCAAATTATACTTTGTGAGGGCTATGACTGGGATATACAGTGCCTTCAGAAAGTATTCACACCCCTTGACTTTTCCCACATTTTGTTGTGTTCCAGCCTGAATTTAAAATGCATTAAATTGAGATGTTGTGTCACTGGCCTACACACAATACCCCATAATGTCAAAGTGGAATTATGTTTTTAGAAATGTTTACAAATGAATAAAGAATGAAAAGCTGACATTTCTTGAGTCAATAAGTATTCAACCCCATTCTTATAGCAAGCCTAAACAAGTTCAGGAGTAAAGATGTGCTCAACAAGACACATAAGAAGATGCATGGAGTCACTCTGTGTGCAAGAATAGTGTTTACCATGATTTTTGATTGACTACCTCATCTCTGTACCACACATATACAATTATCTGTAAGGTCCTTCAGTCAAGCAGTGAATTTGAAACACAGATTCAACCACAAAGACCAAGGAGGTTTTCCAATGCCTCGCAAAGAAGGGCACCTATTGGTAGATAACAACAATAAAATAAAAACAGACACAGAATATCCCTTTGAGCATGGTGAAGTTATTAATTACTCTGCCGGAGAGGAAGCAAACAGGGATTTCACCATGAAGAATTTCACCATGAGGCCAATGGTGACTTTAAAACAGTTACAGGGTTTAATGGCTGTGATAGGAGAACTGAGGATTGATCAACAACATTGTAAATACTCCACAATACTAAACTAAATGACAAAGTGAAAAGAAGGAAGCCTGTACAGAATAAAAATATTCCAAAACATGCATCCTGTTTGCAAAAAGGCACTAACGTAAAACTGCAAAAATGTGACAAAGAAATGAACTTTATGTCCTGAATACAAAGCGTTATGTTTGGGGCAAATCCAACACAACACATCACTGAGTACTAAGTTTTATATTTTCAAGCATGGTGGTGACGGCATCATGTTAGGGGTATGCTTGTCATTGGCAAGGAATAGGGAGTTTTTTAGGATAAAAAGAAACGGAATAGAGCTGAGCACAGGCAAAATCGTAGAGGAACACCTGGTTCAGTCTGCTTTCCAATAGACACTGAGAGACCTTTCAGCAGGACAATATCCTAAAACACAAGGCCAAATATACACTGCAGTTGCTTACCAAGATGACATTGAATGTTTCTGAGTGGCCTAGTTACATTTTTGACTTAAATTGGCTTGAAAATCTATGGCAAGACTTGAAAATGGCTGTCTAGCAATGAACAAACAACCAACTTGACAGGAGCGTGAATACTTATGAGATATTTCTGTATTTCATTTTCAATACATTTGCATTTCTAAAAACATGTTTTCACTTAGCAATTATGGGGTATTGTGTGTAGATGGTTGAGATTTTTATTTATTTAATCCATTTTGAATTCAGCCTGTAACACAACAAAATGTGGAATAAATCAAGGGGTATGAATACTTTCTGAAGGCACTGTACACAGGTAAGTACAGTTGAAGTCGGAAGTTTACATACACTTAGGTTGGAGTCATTAAAACTCATTTTTCAACCACTCCACAAATGTCTTGTTAACAAACTATAGTTTTGGCAAGTCGGTTAGGACATCTACTTTGTGCATGACACAAGTAATTTTTCCAACAATTGTTTACAGACAGATTATTTCACTGTATCACAATTCCAGTGTGTCAGAAGTTAACATACACTAAGTTTACTGTGCCTTTAAACAGCTTGGAAAATTCCAGAAAATGATGTCATGGCTTTAGAAGCTTCTGATAGGCTAATTGACATCATTTGAGTCAATTGGAGGTGTACCTGTGGATGTATTTCAAGGCCTACCTTCAAACTCAGTGCCTCTTTGCTTGACATCATGGGAAAATCAAAAGAAATCAGCCAAGACCTCAGAAATAAATTTGTAGACCTCCACAAGTCTGGTTCATACTTGGAAGCAATTTACAAATGCCTGAATATACCACGTTCATCTGTACAAACAATAGTACGCAAGTATAAACACAATGGGACCACGCAGCCATCATACCGCTCAGGAAGGAGACGAGTTCTGTCTCCTAGAGATGAACGTACTTTGGTGTGAAAAGTGCAAATCAATCCCAGAACAAAGGCAAAGGATCTTGTGAAGATGCTGGAGGAAACAGGTACAAAAGTATCTATATCCACAGTAAAACGAGTCCTATATCAACATAACCTGAAAGGCCGCTCAGCAAGGAAGAAGCCACTGCTCCAAAACCGCCATAAAAAAGCCCGACTACGGTTTGCAACTGCACATGGGGACAAAGATCGTACTTTTTGGAGAAATGTCCTCTGGTCTGATGAAACAAAAATAGAACTGTTTGGCCATAATGACCATCGTTATGTTTGGAGGAAAAAGGGGGCTTGCAAGCCAAAGAACATCATCCCAACCGTGAGGCACGGGAGTGGCAGCATCATGCTGTGGGGGTGCTTTGCTGCAGGAGGGACTGGTGCACTTCACAAAATAGATGGCATCATGAGGAAGGAAGGTTATGTGGATATATTGAAGCAACTCAAGACATCAGTCAGGAAGTTAAAGCTTGGTCGCAAATGGGTCTTCCAAATGGACAATGACCCCAAGCATACTTCCAAAGTTGTGGCAAAATGGCTTAAGGACAACAAAGTCAAGGTATTGGAGTGGCCATCACAAAGCCCTGACCTCAATCCTATAGAAAATGTGTGGGCAGAACTGAAAAAGCGTGTGCGAGCAAGGAGGCATACAAACCTGACTCAGTTACACCAGCTCTGTAAGGAGGAATGGGTCAAAATTCACCCAACTTATTGTGGGATGCTTGTGGAAGGCTACCCAAAACGTTTGACCCAAGTTAAACAATTTAAAGGCAATGCTACCAAATATTAATTGAGTGTATGTAAACTTCTGACCCACTGGGAATGTGATGGAAGAAATAAAAGCTGAAATAAATCATTCTCTCTACTATTATTCTGACATTTCACATTCTTAAAATAAAGTGGTGATCCTAACTGACCTAAAACAGGGCATTTGTACTAGGATTAAATGTCAGGAATTGTGAAAAACAGAGTTTTTCATGTATTTGGCTAAGGTGTATGTAAACTTCCGACTTCAACTGTATGATGTGAATAGGATTTGAGTGTATAAATCTCCAGTGATAGTAGCATATAAATGGGAAATAATCAAGTACACAATGTCACTGGGGACTATGATAGGGATAGAGAGTTGACCGTTACCTGAGAAGTCATTGAGAGGCAGGTGTGGTTGTGTAAAGTGACCAGTGCAGACCACCACAGCATCAAAGACCTGAGTCTCCCTCTGACCTTCTGTCCTCTCTGTCTCCACCTCCCACTGGCCTGACACTGGGAAGTCTGGCCTCTGACGCACACTCACCACAGTGGTCTGACACACGCAGGCACGTACACACGCACACACACACGCACACACACATGAAATGAATCACTATTTACCATCGAAAGGGATCATAACATAAGGTGTGACTGAATAAACATCCACTTTCTTCCTTCATGCCCTCTGACCTGGAAGTGGATGTGTTTGAAGAGGTCAAAGGTCTGAGCGTAAAGTCGTAGGTAGCTCAGCAGCTGGGAGTGGTGCATGTTGTTGGGCAGATTAGCTGGAGGAGGGAAGTCGCTGTATGACATCATCTCCTTGGAGCTGTTGATTATGACAGACTGGTAGATGTTGGCCCTTCCTGGGTCTGGACGCTCCTAAAGGACAAGGACAGACTGAGGATATGCTCTAATATGTCCAATACATTAGATATTGGAACAAAGCCAGGGTAATTTATACTGGATAAACTTTAGATATTGAAAGAGAGCCGGTGTCATTTAAATATGGATATCCAGCAGTAGTTGGCAATGCCAAAACTCCATGTACACACACGCACACAGACACAGTCCCAGGATGTCCTCCTTGTATCTTTTTACTGAGACTAAACAGCATAGTGGATTAGAGTGCATATAATAATGGTGCCGGAGGAGATGGCTGCCGTTTTACAGGCTCCTAACCAATTGTGCTATTGTGTGTGTTTTTTCCGCATTATTTGTAACTTATTTTGTACATAATGTTTCTGCCACCGTCTCTTACGACCGAAAAGCGCTTCTGGATATCAGAACAGCGATTACTCACCTCGTACTGGACAAAGATTTTTTCTTCAACGAGTCGGACGCAAAGGATTTACTTCAGACCTGGACAAGGCCCAAATCCCTGTCATTCGCATGAAGAAGAGACAGAGATATAGAGGATATACACTACCGTTCAAAAGTTTGGGGTCACTTAGAAATGTCGTTGTTTTCAAAAGAAAAGCAATTTTTTTGTCCATTAAAATAACATCAAATTGATCAGAAATACAGTGTAGACATTGTTGATGTTGTAAATGGCTATTGTAGCTGGAAACGGCTGACTTTTAATGGAATATCTACATAGGCGTACAGAGGCCCATTATCAGCAACCATCAGTCCTGTGTTCCAATGGCACGTTGTGTTTGCTAATCCAAATGTAATGAAATGCTTTGAAAGGCTGGTCATGGCTCACATCAACACCATCATCCCAGAAACCCTAGACCCACTCCAATTTGCATACTGCCCCAACAGATCCACAGATGACGCAATCTCTATTGTACTCCACACTGCCCTTTCCCACCTGGACAAAAGGAACACCTACATGAGAATGCTATTCATTGACTACAGCTCAGCTTTCAACACCATAGTGCCCTCAAAGCTCATCACTAAGCTAAGGACCCTGGGACTAAACACCTCCCTCTGCAACTGAATCCTGGACTTCCTGAAGGATCGCCCCAGGTGGTAAGGGTAGGTAACAACACATCTGCCACGCTGATCCTCAACACGGGGGCCACTCAGGGGTGCATGCTCAGTCCCCTCCTGTACTCCCTGTTCACCCATGACTGCATGGCCAAGCACGACTCCAACACCATCATTAAGTTTGCCGACAACACAACAGTAGTAAACTTGCTCACCGACAACGAAGAGACAGGCTATATGGAGGAGGTCAGAGACCTGACAGTGTGGTGCCAGGATAACAACCTCTCCCTCAACGTGATCAGGACAAAGGAGATGATCGTGGACTACAGCAAAAGGAAGGCCGAGCACGCCCCCATTCTCATCAACGGGGCTGTCGTGGAGAAGGTTGAGAGCTTCAAGTTCCTTGGTGTCCACATCACCAACAAACTATCATGGTCCAAACAAACCAAGACAGTCGTGAAGAGAGCACGACAATGCCTATTCCCCCTCAGGAGACTGAAAATATTTGGCATGGGTCCTCAGATTCTCAAAAACGTATACAGCTGCACCATCGAGAGCATCCTGACTGGTTGCATCACCACCTGGTATGGCAACTGCTCGGCCTCCGACGGCAAGGCACTACAGAGGGTAGTGCGTACGGCCCAGTACATCACTGGGGCCAAGCTTCTTGCCATCCAGGACCTCTATACCAGGTGGTGTCAGAGAAAGGACCTAAAAATTGCCAAAGACTCCAGCCACCTTAGTCATAGACTGTTCTCTCTGCTACCGCACGGCAAGAGGTACCGGAGCGCCAAGTCTAGGTCCAAAAGGCTTCTTAACAGCTTCCACCCCCAAGCCATAAGACTCCTGAACAGCTAATCAATTGACTCTCTGTTTATTATTTAAGTGATAATGCCTGAGAAGCCGGTGTTTGGATGATATATTTTCGTGGGTGCTTGAAGGCATTATCACTTTTATTCAACGGGTTACCAACATATGTAAATAATGATTGAAATATTTTCATTAAAAAATGTTATTTTCATTAATTTATTCATACAATTTCATCCTTCCACAAGATATAGTCCCGACACAAATCTAGGGTTCGTAGAGACGCGTCCCAGTCTTTCAGTCTTTTTGTTCTGTATCTATGGACAGTTGTTCAGTCTTTTTGTTCTGTATCTATGGACACAACCCAGTCGTTCGTTCTAAATGTTCCATTGCCATACTGGCTGGCAATGTTCTTATCCCTTGCTTACTAGCTAGCCAACTATGGCTAACTTACATCAAAAAGTGCAGCCAGAATAACAGCAATTGTTTAAGCTGTTTTATAGTGATATTTATTTGGATACATCCATAACAATGAGCTAATAAGGCGCGATTTCGTGCTCACTCGTCAGGACACTGTTGTTCAGAGGAGCTAGCCAACAACACAGCTACAGTAACACAATCCCTTCAAACTGAAGCTGGAAAGACAGCAAATTAGCTGCATTTCATTTTACCTTTTTCAATTTACCTTTTTTTGAATATATCCATAAAAATGCTGCCAGCTGATTCATGATTTCGACTGGCTGAGAAACGACGTCCCGACACGTTCATTATTATGGGGCAGGAGGAGATGGAAATTCAATATTGAAACAATGTTGCAAATGCCAGAGAGACAGACAGCAAGGTTTATACAAATCTCGGCTGTTGAAAACTAAATGTTAGTCTAAAAGAAATGTGAGATAATGTTTAGATGCTCTTCATAGCGGATATCAAGTTTATAAATTGCCTGGCTGGGCTGATGAGACAGTGGATTGCGCAGTCAGATGGAACAGACTAAATAGGCATTTTAACGTCATAGATTTAGCCGGTGACAACTTGTGGAAAAGACACCGGCTGGAATGCGGTTTTAACCAATCAGCCTTCAGGATTAGACCCACCCGTTGTATAACTATGCATAGTCACTTTACTTCTACTTACATGTACATATTACCTCAATTACCTCGACTAACCTGTGATCCCACACATTGACTTTGTACCGGTACCCCCTGTATATAGCCTTGTTACTGTTATTTTATTGTTGCTCTTTAAAAAAAAAATGTTTCATTGATTTTTTTTTTTTACTTCAGTTTATTTAGTAAATACTTTCTTAACACTTATTTTTCTTAACTGCATTGTTAGTTAAGGGCTTGTAAGTAAGTATTTCATTGTAAGGTTGTATAATACCTGTTGTATTCGGCGCATGTGACAAATAACATTTTATTTGATCAGGCACCAGGTTCCTCAGACGGGCCTGGACATGTACTGGCTTAAGCAGGGGGACACGTCTGGCACTGCAGGATTTGAGTCCCTGGCGGCGTAGTGTGTTACTGATGGTAGGCTTTGTTACTTTGGTCCCAGCTCTCTGCAGGTCATTCACTAGGTCCCCCCGTGTAGTTCTGGGATTTTTGCTCACCGTTCTTGTGATCATTTTGACCCCACGGGGTGAGATCTTGCGTGGAGCCCCAGATCGAGGGAGATTATCAGTGGTCTTGTATGTCTTCCATTTCCTAATAATTGCTCCCACAGTTGATTTCTTCAAACCAAGCTGCTTACCTATTGCAGATTCAGTCTTCCCAGCCTGGTGCAGGTCTACAATTTTGTTTCTGGTGTCCTTTGACAGCTCTTTGGTCTTGGCCATAGTGGAGTTTGGAGTGTGACTGTTTGTGGTTGTGGACAGGTGTCTTTTATACTGATAACAAGTTCAAACAGGTGCCATTAATACAGGTAACGAGTGGAGGACAGAGGAGCCTCTTAAAGAAGAAGTTACAGGTCTGTGAGAGCCAGAAATCTTGCTTGTTTGTAGGTGACCAAATACTTATTTTCCACCATAATTTGCAAATAAATTCATTAAAAACCCTACAATGTGATTTCAATTTGTCTGTCATAGTTGACGTGTACCTATGATGAAAATTACAGGCCTCTCTCATCTTTTTAAGTGGGAGAACTTGCACAATTGGTGGCTGACTAAATACTTTTTTCCCCACTGTATCTAACAATTCACAACAATAAACACAAATCTAAAAGTAAAAGAATCGAATTAAGAAATATACAAATATTAGGATGAGCAATGTCGGAATGGCATTAAATAAAATACAGTAGAATACAGTATATACATATGAAATGATTAAAGCAGTAGGTAAAGTGACTAGTGTTCCATTATTAAAGTGACCAGTGATTTCATGTCTATGTACACAGGGCAGGAGCCTCTAAGGTGCAGGGTTGAGTAACCGGCAAGTGATAGCTATTTAACAGTATGGCCTTGAGATAGAAGCTGTTTTTCAGTCTCTCTGTCCCAACTTTGATGCACCTGTACTGACCTCGCCTTCTGGATGATAGCGGGGTGAACAGGCCGTGGCTCGGGTGGTTGATGTCCTTGATGATCTTTTTGGCCTTCCTGTGACATTGGGTGCTGTACAGTGAGGGAAAAAAGTATTTGATCCCCTGCTGATTTTGTACGTTTGCCCACTGACAAAGAAATGATCAGTCTATAATTTTAATGGTAGGTTTATTTGAACAGTGAGAGACAAAATAACAACAAAAAAATCCAGAAAAACAAATGTCAAAAATGTTATAAATTGATTTGCATTTCAATGAGGGAAATAAGTATTTGACCCCTCTGCAAAACATGAGAGGTCGAGGATGGAAATCACTGACTGGGCATCCGGATACCGGAGGACCTGCTTTCCCTTGCCCTGCGGTTTCACATCGGTTGAGAGTCCTGTGGTTGCCCTTCAGCCCGACATCCCGGAGGTATACCAGGATCTCTGGGAGGTGTTCTCCAAGACCCAATCCACCTGTCTCCCTCCTCATCACCCCTGGGACTGTGCCATCAACCTGCTAGAAGGCTCTGCTCCGCCCTCTGTCGGTGGCTGAGATCGAGGCCATGGAGGAGTACATCCAGGAGGCTCTCCAACAGGGTTTTGTCTGCTCATCCACTTCTTCTG